GGAAGGAGGGGGAAAGGGGTGCATTTGGGACTTTTTAAGGTGGTCATAAGGTAAGGAGGTGCAGTGTATGGATGTGTAATAGAGTCTATTCTCAGATCTGACCCTGCTGACAGCTCCGAGATTTGGAACATCTCTTTCCTTTTTCTTCCCCCCTCCCACCCCACACCTCCCTTCTCTCCTCCCACCTTATCACCATCGTTTCGATCTCTCAACCTCTCGACTTATTTTTGGGCTTTTGGAGTTTAGGGGACAGAGTTGAAATGGGTTAACCGGTAAAATCCAAGGAAATTACCGATATCCCATACGAAAACCGTTGGAGATGTGGTCTTGAGCAGGGTCCAACTCCAAATTTTGTCCCAGCGTAAAGGTTGACATTGCGATCAGCTTTTTTGTGAATCAAGGTTGCAGTCGCGGGGTGCAGCCGGTACGATTCGATGTTGAGGCTGAGAATTTCGGCTTTAGGTGGTGGGCTTTATGGCTTTCTTTCTTTTCGAAAACCTAACTTCCATGCATCAAGCTTTGTATTCCACCTTTAGATACTTGCAAATAACCATTCTCTACAAAAGCTGAATGAAGTGGTCATTTTGCCCTTGAAGCACCATACCTCAAACTTTGGTCGCAGAGGGTGCCGGGGGTTGAATTGGGAACTCAATGCAAAATATTTCCATAGATGTCCTTCTTAACAGAAAACGGCCCTCCTTCGTCGCCACTGTCAAAATATGACCCGTCACTGAAGTCACCTTTCAGATCAAGGAACCCTAGCGTATCGTTCCACCGGCTACTGCTACAAGACTTCTCCAACTCATCAATTGAAGGACGGTTCCTAGGGAAAGTAAGCCTAACTATACAAGAGCCCTTTCTACCAGCATTTCAATGACCGGTCTCCACGATCCGTTGACTTCGATGAGCTTTGAGCCGTGCCTCATCTTCCCTATAGGAAATCCTTTCCATTTCCCCGGTGTCGAAGGCTATAGACAAACTAAGCTATGTCTCAGTTCCCCATAGGGATAGATGATTAGCAAAAGCGTAGTTATTATGTTTTCGAATGTGCAGGGGGACTTTTCTCGACCCCTTCCGTCCCTGTATATCTAGCATAAATGAATCACGCTTAGGGGGGACACATGTATTACGTGGGCTGCTGTAGAGGACGGTACAAATGCGCGCTCGTATGTAGAGAAGTACATAAGGCTTGCCCGTCCTGGACGCCTTTCTGCTCTGCCTGTGTTGCCATGGCCCTCATCAACATGCCCCCCCTCTTCCCGCTTTGGAAGCTACATATAGGAAACAAATTCGTATGAATGATACTGTATGGACATTTCAAAAAAATTTGCGGGTTTTCCGTATAAGTCAAACCATTAGAGTTATCGGAAATCTAAAAAGCGTAAAAATTCTTTCAGAGAATAAAATCCGAAATTCTGCTCAAGCATAATTGACGACAAGGAAACTCAAACCACCCAAAGTATTATTTGGAGAAAAAAGCCCTATCTATGTAGATGACCCTGCTGGCCAAAAAAGAACCCATGTCGAAAGCAGGAAATAAAGTTTGTGATAACGTGTGAATCGGTGATAGCCATCTAAACGGTTATTAAAAAATTGCCATGGCCATAGAAACCCCAGAAAATCAGTTAATGTATTTCAGGTACTTTTTTCTCCGTTTTGATTTTTTCTTTCTTTTCGCCATGGTATTCTCGTCAACCTCGGTGCAACTTCTTAAAGAAGTAAAATAACAAATTTAAATAAAATGGATGCTGAAAAAATATGGAACTCACCGCGAGGAACCGACATGTGGTGGGATTTGGGAAAGGGTCGTCAAGGAAACGTCCCCATGACTAACAGTGACTGCTCTATTGGGTTCGTTTCGAATATCACCCATTGTTTGCGTTTTCGCCTTGACTCATCCATTATGTGAAGTAGTTACTGATGTGTCCTTACAGGACGCGCCACGCAGCAGAGTTGTGTCCAAAATAAAGCGGTTGCAGACGTTTTGCTCCATGAATTAAAGGCACCTTCTACGATTTCAAGGAATGTGTTAGACCACTAAAAGGTAGCAGGTGCAAAGAAAGCGGCATATGTCGTAAATACGACGATGAGGTTTATAAAAGTAGGCCTCGAAATCTGGCAGCTCCGCCTCAAGTTGGCAGTCCCGCCCCGTCTCCCTGCGTCTCTCTCGTCCCTATCCTCTCTCGATCTCTCGTTTTCACACTCTATCTTCTGCGCGCACGCTCTCTTCGCTGTAACCTCATATACAGCGCCCTAGGTTAACATGGAGTGGAGGCCTTAAGGATGTTTACGACTGTTTATTTTGCTTCTTTTCTATTGGTTGGTCACATAGCATTTATTCTTTCATATCTAAGCCCACTACTCACTGCTAATTGTCTTTAGGTGACCTAGCAAAGAGTGCTTCCGTTTTCTTAGGCTTCTCAGCATGTCTCTAGCCAACTGAATAGGGCTAAAAGAGTACGAACCAATCGGGAATCGATCTAACGGTGAGTGGACTTGATAAAAATTGCATGGGGCCCACAGCACCCAGACACTTGCAGCCAGCGAGGCTCCCACCTACTGTATATTCCCGAAGGCCCTAAGCTCTCTTGAAAACTGTTCCTGATCCGATGCCGCCAGCACAATCTGTGCGTCAACTCCTACCCATACCAGAGCCTTCAATCACTCCAAGGCCGATGGTTTAGTCCAAGGTTCGTCTGAAAAAAAAACATTGTTGTCGACACTCTCACAGAACTGTTCGGTTATGAGCAATACTTTCGGGGATCGAACCCGCATTTCTCGCTTTTGGGTAGTTTAGTGCATGGTGATAAGCCGCCAAAAACAGCAGATAGCAATCAAAAACAAGTAAAAAATGATCTCCAAAAATTAGCTGGTAGCCCTATTCATTGTGAGGACTCCATGTGCATTCCAATGCCTCCGCAGTTTTGCGTGAAGAGCAATGACGTCGGCACATCTGCGAAAAGTTCGATTACTGCCCCCATTTTTCCACTCAAAAAATGAATGAGCAAAGTTTCGGGGACATTCTTACTCATTCTATTGAAACAAGTTCATAGTTTCAACAAATCATGAGCTATAAAAAGTAAGCCAGGACATAATTAAATAAAATAATAATATAGCAACGCTGAGCCTCTACGAAATCAATTTCCGAAATGCTGGAAATTCAGTAATAGCGTACCGCCATGGTGCGACAAAAACCCCCGCATGCGCGTTCAGCGCGTTTACGGGTGATAGCCGTGTGGTGCATGCTGGTACATAACCCATGATTTAGTGCGATAGTTGCTGACGAGGACCACCTAAGCATAGGAAGACGATTATTCCAATCGTTGCGGCCGTTTCCCTGATTTAAGAGCGACACGTGGTGCAGAGCTCTAACGCGCGCATAGAAACCCCCTGCAAATTTTCTACATTACTAATATTTATTAGACAAAGCCTCAGAAGGGACAACCCCGGGGTGCGTGAGAAAATATCCAGTTACCTGGCAGTTCCTCTCACCCTCCTGGCCGTATATTATCCTTGCCGTAGGAGGACGCGTCTCCTAATGATATCCTAAGGTTGGGTAGATAGGTTGAATACCTGTTATAAAGGTTTGGCCGCAACTCGATTCCCAGGTGGGTCCTGTTAGCGAAACCTGTGCTCCACGCATACTGAGCAGATACATTGGAGCAGGTGCCTACCCCTTCCTTAACCCACCCCCGCATCACCTCCGCTGATTATTCTACGGGCGGGCTGGAGGCAGGCTTTCGTCATGCGAATCCGCGCATGAATGTGTAGCTTACCCTCCACCTGTTGAGTGACTCTCTTCTCCAACGGCGGTTCGGAGCTGTCTAGCAGCTTAGAATCGCTAAGTATGACGGCCCTCTGACGCATCCATGTCTCCTACAGCCGATGGACAGGATCACGGCGAGGAGGCGTCCCCCTAGGGGAAGGATTGGATACGGCATGGCAGCCATGGAGGGGGTGAGAGGGTTGAGAGGTGTTTTCGCCAGGACAGAAAGCGACTTTTCGCGGTTCTCAGTCGCCGAAACATTTCTTACTGCGGATCTGCGCGTCCATCTTATAATTACCCTGGACCCGGGGTTCTTGTCATAGTCCTGGGGGAGTGAGTATATAATTCACCTGGCTCACAATTACTTCTCCTCACCCAAAACCCGTACCATAGAAAAATTAATGAATGTCGCAAGAATGGAACACTAGCAGTACGTAACTTTAAAAGGACGCCTCGAGCAATCTCCGAGTTGGGGGCAAAACCGCAAGCTAAATGGTCCCGGGGATTTCCTCCCGTGCAAGAAGTTCAAGATTCTGTAAGCGGAGAAAAACTGTCGCACCACATACCCCTTACTGGACGAGAGTACCCCTCCTTACCGGAAGAGCGTCCCCAAGGACCGTCGGGCTACTTGAACTCAGTCGTTTAAACCGCCCCTGCTCTCTCTCGCGGGTCCCTCTTTTCTCCAAGGCTTAATTCCAGGGTATTCACCCGTTCTCTAATCGTCTGTGCTCTAGCCATTCGCCCCCCCCCCCCCCCCCCCCCCCCCCCCCCCCCCGGCAGGACCATTAAGGAGAGTCAACTTAGCTACCGTAAACCGCAGGTTGAACCAACCCCTTCCATTTCGGGCCGCAAAGGCCGAATAAATTTCGACATTCAGGACCGATATCTCGAGCCATATGTTTAGCACCTGAGTTCGCGATGAGATTCGAGAAAGAAGCCGCAATTTTCAGAGCATCCACAGAAGAATGGCGGGTGAGCAGTGCGCTCCCACCGTGTGCTATTTAATAACCAACGTTTAAATTTCGCTGCGTACCCGGTGGCGCGGTGAAGCGCCGAGTCGGCAGGCAACGACGAGAATCGCCGCGAGCACGGACCTCGCAAGTCGCCGCCGCAGCCGCCGTCGCTCTCACCACAGCTGCTGTCTACTTGCTACGTACGGGTGCGTCTGTGTTTCGATAGTTTCGAATACGAACTTGATCGTCTTCGCCGTTGAGATCGTCGTCGATTGGTCGTCATGAACGTCGAGGTGAGTCAGCAGCTTTTTCTCGCTGAAAACCGGTTGAAAATCACCGCCCCTAAGCTTCGCCAATCAGCAATCAATTTTTCGCTTCTGGCCTCTTTACCGCAAAGTATTTCCGCAAAAACACACTGCTAATAGAAGATGCCAATGGGGAACGCAAGCTGAGTCACCCTCTTAGTGACTCAAACTTCAAAAAATTCGACGAGTACTTGTAGAAGATAGGAGTTATTCCTCCTCTGGAACACACCCTATACCTGAGGGAGTGGCTGGCAAGTACTTTGCTCGTTTTTCTTTTGCAAATTCACTGCCTAATGGGCGAAATTCTGGGGAGAAACGATCTTGGCGTTGTTCGCGGTTAGAAATGCCTTGCTTTGAACGCGTGAATTAGTCACATTGAAAAAAATGTTCAAGAGGAAATTATTGCTCAAAAGAATGATTCCATTACTTCACTGAAGGCTCCCGCAGTTCAAGCAGTTTATTTATTTATCTATTTATTTACTTATATTCAAGTGAGTGCCAGTGTTGTTGAGTACCGGACCAAAGGCTGAAGCAAACAAAGTTGAATGAAAAGTAAAAGTAAAAGGCCAAGCTGAAGCGGACCGTCTGCAGTATCTGTCGGCACAGATATTGATAACAATTTTTTCATATAGTGTTGTGAATGTTATTTAGAGAATGTTGTAAACTGTGCGAATTTTTTTCCCAAGCACTTTGGAAGCGAAGCGCATCTGCTGTTTTTTATCACTGTAGGTTTATCCACAAATCTCGTGCACTAAAGAAGTTACTAAAGAGATTGAATAGAATTATCTTGGGTTTAAATCTGTTAATACAATGAAGAGCTTCTCAAATCCAATTAGTAGTAGTGGTCGTAGTAAGAAAAGTGCTATCTGTGTAAATTATCAATATTTTTGGGTGTTTTTCTTAGTAAAGTCAAAATATTAAATATGTTGTGATCGCTTGCTCAAGCGCCGGCTTCAATTTCATAAGTTTTAATGAATTGTTAGAAGAATCCCGACTTGTTTCCGAATCCATTCATTGATAACAATGGTCTTGCTCTTGGAGTGACTTCATTCTCATGACGTTTTCACACATAAACAAGTCATATACTGTTTTTTTTTCAGCAACGATTAGGAAAATGCTAAAGCTTGGTTTAGCGCTAGAATTGTTGTGGCATTGGGCATCTTTTTTTGGGCAAATAACTAGCTTCTCGTGCATGAGCGAATATGGATTGAGTATTTTTAGCCGGCTTCCGAAAAAAAATGTAGTTTACGACTATAATTGAGAATTTTTCAACTCTGAGAGCAGAATAATCGAATTAGGTTCCCTCCGAATCAATACAATTTGACCACACTGGTAAAAAGTGAATGCTGTGACGGGTAACATCGGTGTACTGGACTGGACTAGCGGCGTTACTGGCGTTAAGTTGGACTTACGGCCAACTTAACGCGGACGCCATTTTTTGCTTGATCACTCGACTCTTCTCTTTTGGACTTTAAGAAACCTTTCCATCACCGCCAACCGTCCAATTATTCCGTCAACTTAAGCTTCGCTAACACCGATGATTTCTTCAGCATAGCACCCTAATTTTTATTGAAATGCGACGTTTTTTTTTACTGGCTTGCTTCATCACACAAATACAGTAAACATACTCGTGAAAATACACGCAAAGGAAATATGTTGGTGTTCGAAGTCACAAGCACGTGATTTCTTGGGAAACAAAATAAATATCTCCACAAAAACGAGAGAACCTTCCAAATAACCTATCAAATTTTGAGGTAAAGCTATATTTCACAAGCGCTATATCTAATCACCTGTCCTTATTTCATCAATTATTGACTTGAAGGAGGGTCAAAACATATCATCTGTTGAAGGGTTTGGAGAACAGAACGGAATGTTTTTCCGCCGTGTTAATAACAAAGATAGCCTTAGCAAGGATTTGTTAAGTATTTTTTTTTTATCAAGGATAGAAACAATACTTTGAAATGAAATTTGGAATCATTGCACTTCCCATTTGTAAAAGCATGAGGGAATCATTTTTTCAGAAACACTTTCGAATTCTGTGACCTGCTGAAAATTTGAGATAGTCAGTGAGTTGCTCATTAAGCAGGCTAACTGCGTGTGCGGTGAGAGGAAATATGAGCACAGCCTAGATAACTAGATGTCATGCTAATTGTTATTAGTAAGATGATTTATTTCGTACCTTTTGCCATTTTTTGAAAACCTTGTTTTTGTTGTCGGATGTATCATCCGGCTAGGAGTTTTCAAAAGGCACGTAGTATTTTTTGCAGGTGCGCAGTTTTCATAACTAGAACCTTTGTATTTGCAAAAATATAAGTCGGGCAGGTAAATTCGTCTTGAGCTACTTCTTTTTGCAGCTACATACGCTCTCGGATCGATTCATTCTTCCGAGCTAACCATAATATGCATCTCATACATCCATTATGCATCCGAAAAAAAAACTATGCGATTTAGAATCGACTTATTCGAGGGAATGGCGATTACCTACTTGGTATTTGTTGATAACTAAACTACGCGCGCTTTTCGGCATATTCTTTAAAGTTCTATTTCGAAGAATAACTGAGAAATCAGGTACCAGATAATTTGAGAAAGTCCTCGATATTATTTCACTTCTGAAAATTGGACATTCTCAGGAGACACTGCTTGTGTTTTTTCTTTCTCACAATTATGCATCGTTTTTCTGGTCTTCCCAGTTTATCGTGTTGCCTTAAATTTCCAAATGATTTTGCTGATATGATTTGTGCACCGTCAGTGGCACCTACGGGGTGTTTTTATGGACGAATAAATAATGGAAAATCGATAAAATGGCGGAAAGCGTTGCTTTTGATGAATTTTCACGAATAATATTTATGGGATCACCTAATCAAATTTGTTTCCTGATAAAATAACATATCTGAGGAGAAATAAGCGTTCTGGCAGCTGACTGCTGAAAGTATTGAAAGAGCTGCTTTCCTTTTTTTTAAGTGTGTTCGCGACTACCAAATTTGTTTGATACTTATGCGGAGTTGTTTAAATGGATGACTTCTTATGATTAATAGAACCATTTGAGTTGTTGGTATGGGAAGGTGACGTCCGTTGGAATTTGTAATGGTGGTCCAGTAATTCCAGAATTTGATTTTATTGTCGTGACATGGATCATAAAGAAGTTCTGTAAAGTCCACGAATTTTCATGGAGAGATGTCAAAACCGAAGTTGGAACAGTTTTCCGATTTTTAGAAATACTTACACCATATATTGAGGATTTATCATTTCTTAGCTCGTATTCCTGACCTGTTGTAGACTGATTGGTATGAATTCTAAGAATAACGCCGTCTTTATGACACTGGCATAAGGTGGCAACATCCTGTGATCTCAGTTTAGTTATCTTTTATCCACTAAACGCTTTTCAGGTGAACATCGATGGTGTGTACTATCCCGCGTTAGCCGAACGGATTTCCAGGGACGAAAACTGTTTGGAGGTAAGCGCCCAGAATATCATTTTCCCTCGAGTCTACTCTTCCGATGTTATTATTAATCGCACGATCCCTCAAAATGAAACTTTCAATTGTTGCATTCATCTGTAATAACCGGTTTGCTATTACAGACTTCTTATCCCGGAGATTGGCGTCCACGGGAGTCTGTGAACTTTTCGAATTGCCGTGTTTTACAAGCACAATCTTCACATCCCATCCACAAAGGTGATGTTATCGAGGCGTTGTTTGAACAAGCAAATGGCCAATCAGGATGGCAAAAGGCTTCGGTACGCGAGATCAAGGTGAGGAATTATAGGCAAATATTTGGACCTTGAGTGTAGATTCAGGCTGTGATGTACTTGTGTCCTTTTCTCTCTTGTTTCGCCCTCTCTGTTCCGAATCCCCGTTTCGGAAGTTTCTAGGAATATATGCTCAGGGAACCTAGAATGCACACCATTTAATTCACATTTATACGCCGTCGCTGACGCACCCTTTCTTCTCAACAAAAGTACACTACAGGCAGTCTAAGAACTTTTAGTAAGATAGTTCAACGTTGATTTTCTCATGATGCCTGTTATATGATATGAAATGAACATTCTCTTGGCTCTGGCACCAACAGTTGAAGCGAACACAATTAGTTAAGAAGCTTGTTATCACAGTAGAGCGTTGTGCTGTAGTACCTAAGTTCGAAAGTGATGAGTAATGGTGTAGTTGCAGCAGTAAAGTGAATGACGAAACGTCGAAGATGAAGCGCTTTGAACATCTGTTTACCCCAGAATATCTGATCAACACTTTTTCTGCTCGTGCCGCCCGTCAAATAACAACGCATTCAGGCCAAAGGACGCAGAACATTAAAAGCCAGCCTTCCCTTATTTGTGTGGTCTAATCTTTTATCTGATGCTTATCGCTTATCTCAAAGTAGTTGGACGTTGCGCGCTAATCTTAGATACGTAATCTGGCATCTAAAACAAGCGGTTTCAAGAAGACCTCGTAGTGGTCTTTGTGGACTCGTAAAAGTATTGTAGGGTATTCAAGAGAACGTTATCAAAGGCCGTTTTCTCGCGCTAAGCACCCGATCTTTCATGTGACTGCTGATTTTCCTTCCTTTGCGATTGAGCGATTGAGTGATTTCCCATGTACATTTTGCACGGCCGATTTCAGTAGTGGTGTGACTCGGCTCGACGGTCCGCACACCTACAGATGTGTGGCAGCCCAATGTCCGCAAATGGAGCTGTTATAGACGCAATTAGCGCTGCATGAATTATGAGGACTGAACCCTTTGGTATAGCTACTCATACTTCTATGTGGATGGACTTCCCAGAACACCGCGAAAGCAGATGCGGCAGAAATGTAGTCTCTCAACTGTAAATTCAGTTCTCCGTTGTATCCTTTAAAGGACGAATTCACGATGAAAAAGCAACCCATTTCAAATTAACCTAGGGATGGTGAGTGGTACACGAAAGAAGGAAGAACCATGAGAAACGGCCCAGAACCCGAGAAATGGTACCCCTTCCTTGCCCGTTGATTCGAGCATTGATGCGACTCTCATCGCTGTGCCCTCTTCAACACTACGCTCTCTCAGCTATCTAATCACTCGCCACGTATTGAACTACGGCGAGTGATCAGATGATCGGTGGGCGGAGATCGCCGGACCCGCCAGCTTTGAGGCATGATAGGTCGCCGAGGTCAAATTTTTCCATGCGAATTGCGCGTCAGTTCGCACCCTCAGGAGGTCCGTGGGTCCCTCAACTAGGTCAGTTTCCCTTTCTTCGACCTTCATTCTAATCGTGAATTCCTCCTTTAAGCGTCATAATTCTTTCTCTGCGGAAAAGCTAGAAAATAAAGCAGCGTTACCATTTGGGCTGCGGCCTCAGTCAATTACGTTTGATAGCTAGTCGTTCTGATATTATTATCTTACATTGAAGGCGTTCCGGAAGATTTGGTCGATCACTTTTCGGTTGATAGGAACCTTATGGAATTTCAAAACACAGTGAAGGATATTTCCATGAGCTTTGACAAGGTAAGGAAATAGAAAATAAGCTTCGACGGAATTTGGATTGAAGCACGTACGGTTCTATGTTCCAGGAATCGCGCGAAATCAAATTGACTTCCTTTTGGTACGATGTCACTCAAGAAAGCAGTTGTTTCATGAAATGTTTCCGAGTACGATCACAAAACGACATGCCAACGTCACACCTTTCCTTGTGTTGCTCGCAAATGTGTGAATTATAATTAATGCAGGATGTGCGCCTAAAAAATCAACTACGTGCTCGAGCTGAAGAAGCGGAGCGTTTACTTCAACACGGCTCTCAGCGTAATGACAAGGACTCACCGTTTGTGGATGAATTTGAGTATGTCTCATATGAAATAGCATTCGTAAAAACATGGTAGTAAACCTCTGACTCGTTCAGAGTCGCAGCTGATTTGATGGGATTAGCAATTGGAACTCACGGTTCGAACATACAAAGAGCTCGCAATGTGGAAGATGTAGATGATATCCAGGTGTTCGAAGGAGGTGGTGATGGTCAGCCATGCATCATCAAGGTAGGTATCAGTGTTCCCTAATGTCAGTTTTTATTAGCCCTGGCTGCAACGCCTGCAGCAATTGGTTTTGCCTTTTTCATTCTCGCTTTTAGGAAATTTTTAAATGTCAGTTCGGATTCCATTCAATCTGCAAAATTCTCAAATAATTAACTCAATTTCTAGCTTCTGTTATACGCGCTTCATTCACGGATGTTTATATTCCGATAGGAAGTCTGGAAGATTTGCACTTTCGCTTACACTGTATTTTTTAGATATTTGCGAAGACAGCCGCAGCAGCACAAAAAGCACGTGCGCAACTCGACTTTGGGGTGGAATGTGTACACGTGCCACGGTTTTTGGTAGGCAAATTGATCGGTAAAAATGGAAAGTGTATCCAGGTTGGTTAAGCTTTGATTCCTCTCTATTCAGTACAAAGCGATTTTTTCCTGCCAACCGAACCAAGCCTTTGTTTTCTCTGCGAATATTTTACGCTTCCGCAGTGCTTACTTTGACTTGTGTTTCGATTCTTGTGGAGGGGACGCGCATGTACAAAAATAGGTCATAGTTTCATCGCCCTCATGACATTAAATCAGCACAAAACCTCAGCACTGATTTGGACGTCAGTTTGTCGTCGGTGTGCTTTTCTTACCTCCTCCTCCCCCCCCCTCCCCTCCCCCCGCCCCCCCCCCCCACACATGCCAACTGCAGCACATCGTGGAATTGGGCTAAGAGGCTCAGGGGTATATAGCCAGTGGTAGCTTTTAATTGCAATCACTCCGTTGCGAAATCATTGATAGATAGTTAAAGCCTGAAAACTTTCCCGTTTGGTGAGCGGTAGGTTTTTTCCATTCCATACCCTATCATTTTGGGGAACGGGCAAACAGACGGATATGCAGAGCGTCATACTTTACACCAATACACATACATTCATACCAGCAAACTTCGTATACCAGTTATTATACGAATCTTCCACGGAAAGAGTGATCATTTTGTCTTGTGTGTAGGATTAGTATTATCGAAACTAACGCTTATGTTCCGTTCTTTTTGCTATGCTCATGAGGCTAGGGGCCTAAGGGGTATCGTTTTTCTGTGGTAATGGAGGCGGAGCTTTTTCCGCGGAAGATTCCTTTAAGTCATAAAATAGGATTCACGTTATTGATAACCTTGAATTGTGCGTCAGGAAATCGTTGATAAGTCGGGTGTGATACGTGTTCAAATCGCCGGTGAAGATGATGACAATATGGATCCTGTACCGTTTTCGTTTACCGGTACTAGGTGAGACTCTCATACAATTTTATTCATGAAAATAATTTTATTAGAGAGTGAATGCTTTCAGGGAATCGACATCAATGGCTGCTTTCCTGGTAGACTTCCAAATCAACCATCTGAAGGAGACCGAGGGCTTGCGCAATAATATAGAAGATATGATGCGGCAAGCGTATAGCAACAGTGAAAGATTCCAAAGGAATTCTGGTGGGGAATTGTGTGCTCTTTTTTGTAGTTTTTCTTTTACGTTCCGTCATAATAAATCAAGTTGTAGATGGTTACCAACGTAACGGATATGGTGATCGTGGAGGATTTGACCGCCGTGGCGGACGTCGTGGACGTGGGCGAGGTGGTAATTATCGCAATGTGAATGCGCAGAACGGAGGATCAACCAATGGAGGTTCAAGTACGGGCGGAAGGCCTTGGAGGGAAACTAGGTATAGGATTCGGTAATTATTTGTTCCTTTGCAGTTTGCTTTTCACTCTAACGTTAAGCTTTAGGGGCGATAGCAATCGATACAGTGACGAAGAGTGGTCCGGAGCAGAGGAAGGCAAGCACAGAGAAGAACACGGTGACGAACAGGAGCAACGTCGCCAGGGACGACAGCGTGGAGGAAGTGCTGGTGAACGAGGCAGTAATGCTGGGCGAAGACGTGGTACGTAAAGTTTTCCAAGTGCTTCGTTAATTTTTTGTTTCCTTCCACTAAAGCGTCAGTTTAGCGAGGGGTTAAGCGCAAAATTTGTAAAGGAGATCTCGCCGCGATTTTGTGAAGCTGTTCAACGCTTTGCAGTATTTCCTGGCAATATGAATGTCCCTATCACGTTGAAGCTGAGACTGATTGCATAGTTTTTTTTTTCTTTCGGAACAATTTTATAGCTTCCTCTGTATCTTCAGCTCGCACTTTATGCGTCTTCATATTTCTAGTATTGATCCTGCTTCTCCTTACTTCTTTACCACCAATAGGGAATTTGGGTAAATAAATTTTACCATCGGTTATTGAAATTATCGGTAAACCGTCTTCTGTTTCATCATCGTGAAAGAAAGTCGTGAATTGCAGGAGGGATCCGCCTTTTCCTTAATGTTGGGATTAAATTTGGAAATTTCTGCTTTCTTGCATAGTCGTTCGTTCCTTCGTAGCGGTCGCCCAGCGTTAGATACGCATTGATCGTCGCATACTGAGGCAAGTTTGACGATCGATACGACTCCAATGCTTTCATGCGAGAGTTACGATCGGACGACCGACTATGCATGCGCCCTATTATTTTCGTTTTTCTTTTTGCTCGTTGGTCAAATAATTGATTAGTGTGAGTTCCAGGTCGTGGCGCCTACAACAGGAATGGAGTTTGATTGCGGTGTTCGTATGTTCATTTCGATTCATGTTTGATTGTTCCACTATGTCGTGCCTAAGGTCTCCCGAACGATTACATGTAATTAATCTCATGTTCCGAAATTCATGCGATGCTACCGTCAGTGTCAGTGTGTACCCGTCACCACGATGTTTACGCTTATAATTTGTGCTCGCCCTGGTGTTCTGTTCCTTCTCTTTTCTGAAAGGTAACGTATCTCTAAAAATGTTCTATCTGTTTCATAAACTCGTCACACACCCAGGTTCTCTCGTTCTGCGCTTTGTGATATCGTCCGTTAGATATACCGAAATCTTTTTTCATGCAATCATCATATTCATGTTCGGTTTACGTGCTTAATTTGAGTTTTGCAGTTACGAGTTTCGTTGTCCTATGTTTGTTTCTGGTTCGTTTTTAATTTCTATTAATATGAATATTCACATTTTTAATTTAGAACTAACGCGTACGTGCCGCTTAATATAGTAGAGAATTTTTGGTCGTATTCATTTGGTAGGTCGTAGTTGTAATCGAGCGATTGAACCACACCTTCACAATGGCTCAAGAACTGAAATTTGCTCTTTATACAATGCTTTTGAATGAAGGTTTGAAGTTTGAGGGATGTTCGGTGCAATGATTTAATTTTGTTTATTTTGATTTATTTATTTATTTGTTTGTTTATTTGAGACGCTGCTCAAACCAGGCTTAAAAAATACGGTCGTAAATACATACAATCAAAAGTCCACATTATCTAGTTGCTTCTTTGCCCTACAGTTGAACAATACAAAAACCTGTGGAGTAAGCGGCATGTTGACTTTGGGCGAAATAAGTGTCAAAAGAGTAAAAAAATGGTTTGAATTCTTTCTTGTTTTGTGATTTATGGGAGCAAGGTGATGATAGTGTCTGTTAGAGTGACAGGAAATACTTCCATGACACTATGAAAGAATGAGTGGAATGAAAACTCGTTGGAAAAACGATTTGAATCGCATGAGAAGAACCCAAAAAGGTGGGTTTTCCCTGATTCCATGGATTTTTTTCCAAGGAAACTGTTTACGTGAGTGCGTTGCAGACGAAGACTTGAAAGCGGTTAACATCCATCCAATCAGGTATTTAATAGCGTCAACATATAAGAAAAGCGGGTCCCGCCTACAAGCGGGATAGACGCTGAAAAATCATCACAAGAAGCAGCATTTACAGAAGCAACAACCGGGTATTTGCAGTCGGGGAACGTCGCAACTGTTTCTTTGCCGAGTATGGTTAAGAAATCCTTCCTAACCTTCCTATGCAATAGTTTCTCAGTCTCAGTTTATTTTAATTTCCTAAATATTTTTTATGTTTTATATACATCCTTATTTGGGTCAGTCTCATTAGAAAAAAATGACACTTCAACGGATTTTTCCTCGTCTCGGCAGGTTCGGTGCTGCATACGAGCCCGGTTATGTGGATGATGGCAAAATGGTTGCCAACAAAGTTCGCGTTGTTCGTTGAAACTTAGCGTAATCTGAATAGCTTCAAATCTCATTTTAGTTGCACCCGTGGATTTGGGGTACCCGACAGGAGGCCCGTCGCGCGGCAAGCAGAGTCAGACGAGTTGCAGCGCGTGTGTGCGATGTAGGACGTGCATGGTACATTCTATTTAACTTGACGCGAAATCACTACAGTACGCGCTGCGACTCGTCCGCTGACTCTGCCTTCTTGCCGCGCGACGGGCCTCCTGTCGGGTACCCATGGATTTGGACCCCTTTCAGGGCGAAGACGCCAGGTGAAAAGCTGTTGTGCTGCTGACTTTACCATAATGTGCCATTCGTCAGACTGTTGATCGTCCGTAACGAGAATTAGTGACGGGTAAAAGTCCGGGCCACATTTGAGCTCATTCACAGTCCAAGAGTAATTCACCCTTTGACTGAATTCGAAAGTTTGGTTTTTCAGTCCGCCAATGGGCATTTGGCTTGACTCATTGTTAGTTTATAGGAAAAAAGATGAAGGGATCATGTGATGGTGTCGAACGGCTATTTTTTTAGCTCCACAATCGATCCAAACAGCAATTCAATAGCAACCAAATTATTGCCACCAGCGTGTGAAGCACGGGGTCATACTGAGCCCCGGCAGTGTGTCTCTCTGCATTATTACGATCCCTCAATTGCTTAGGAACCAAGTTGTACAATCTGTGGCAAACTCCGCCCATCCAGGCGCCCACCCGACCCTCTTATTGCGTTTGACCTTTTTCTCCTTGCCAATCCCCATTCACATTTTCCCTTGCTTTTTAGACCGTTTTAGGAACTCGAAATCATAGGTTCAGTGAACCCCCCGATCTGTGTACGATCCACCCACTATTGGCACCGGCCTACACTCCCTCCCCTACCTCTACGCACTTTTTTCCTGTATCTGGATTGTCTTGGAACCAAAATGAAAATTTTTGTCTTCGTAGGCCCGCTTCGGCGCTTGATCCAGCCATCATGACGTGCTTCATTGGCCCTGGGCAAGTGCCGCAGTTACCCAGACTAAATAGAAATCTGCGTCTCTACTCCGGTCGTTGACGCCGTCGTCAAAAATAAGGGGATGCGTCCAGAGATGCAGGTTTGTAGACCCATGCCCGTCCTGGTGTTGCTGCACATGGCCCGCCATTTGTGTTTCGTACGTCATGACCCATGTCCCACCCAATCCGAACTTCAACCCGGCCTCTCCAAGGGCCGGATCGGGAAGACGAAAATAACGTTAAATTTCCTCTGTCTCCCCAACAGGGATTGTCCTGATAAAGGGTTCATATTTGATCAATTTATGTAGGTCAATGAAAACGCATAAAATTGTCAAGCAAATATATTAGGTTGGCAAGAAAGTTCTGCGACACTCTTTCTAAAATTTTCTTTCTTTTTGAAAAATCATAGGTAACATTTATGACTAACAAATGGTAACATTCTCGTGGCTTTAATCCACGAGGTGGATATAAGTGCTGCAGTCAATAGTTAACCAAGAAAATTCAAAAAACCCCAACCACTGGTTAATCCACACTCCGAGTCACTGTCTAGTACAAATGTCTCCATAACTGTGGATTCGTGTCAAAGACCAACACTATCTGCAATCGCTTCAATAGGCATGTCGTGCACCGCTACAGCGTGTTTCAGCTTTATCAGCGCTTTCGATCTTTTGATATTTTCATAAGAGGCCAGCAGCGTCCTACACACTCCATTACAGGAAGGGCTCCTACGGAAGCTCATTTACAAATTCTTCGTTATGGGCACCATTGTGTAGGTAGAGGTCTATGCTGCGAAACTCCAGAAGTTGGCCGAGGCAGCTCGTCAGGAGCCCTCGTACCGCGACAATTTATTTCTTTCATGACATTGCGAATCACCATGATCCGAAATGAGCCCGGTAAGAAATTCTGGAGTTGCGGCAAGATTTTTACCTCTCTTAGCGTATTCTCCTGGTCGAGCTATAAATGTCTGCTACCTACCCTGGACCTTAAATCATCATCTTGATGACGAAATAATTAGACGATCAACTCCAACTCGAAAGTGAGGTCGCCTCCTTTCTCGACCCGCACTCCGCTGGGTTTTGGCAAAGGAGCATCAAGAAATTTTTTGAGCGTTGAAGACAAGCGGAGGACACTCATGGTAGATATAAGACCGGTCAGGAGTTGTAAACAAAAAAGATAAAATTAAAAACAAAAATTTGGTAGAGTACAGCCTAATATATCGTTAAAAACAAATAAATTTGAAGGAGTCCGTCTTTCCGTCCCCCAACCCCTTGGAGGAGAATGGAGTCCTGCCCCAAATGGCTGGCTCTTCAAGTAACACCGAATGTCGTGACAGTGAGTAGATGACAGTGCCTATAAAATACATAGTGCGCGAGGCTGAAATATTCTGAGAACCTGTTCGAACGGATTTTCCAAAGGAAACGAATAAATTGTGTCAACGAGGATGTATAACAATAGGGCTGGTTGAACATGACGTGGCTGCCTCTATCCCAGACGAACGGGTTATGCCGCATTGACTCCAGATCCATAGGCAGCGATTTTTGGACGTTCCTATGCGGATGGGAGTAGCCGATCTAGTAAAAATCCCGTAAAAATTCCATATTGACAATTCTGAGTTGAACTTTTGATTCGCAAGCGTATAAATTATTAATACCGGTTCGAGCGGATTATAAAGCCCGGGGTGACCTCATAAAGTTTCGCTGATCTCGGCATGGCGGTGCCCATTTTCAGTGAGTAATGAATTAATTGGGTGAATCAGGTGAGGTAGCCCTTCTAGGGTTGGTCATGCATTGGTTTAATTCCAACCATGGGTGTTGTACACAGGGTCAACCGTCCGTTGGACAAAGTCCAACGAGGGGTGGGGGGTCGTATTTGGGGTGGAAAAAGGGGGGGTCGTATTTCGCGAGGTAGCGTTAATGTTACAGTAAGGGAAGTGATGATGCAGTTGGTTGGCGCGCTAAAATTTTGCCGTTTCACGGTGTGTATAAGCCCCTCCCCCCTGGTAAGAGTGGTTGAATGTTTGCGGTTTCGTGGTAGGTATATACCCCCCCCGCTCGACGGTAATTTTGGAGGAAAAAAGTGGGCGGAGTTTGGGCTGTGTCGACTGGTCTCAGAATCGAATACTATAGAATGAGCCATGATGATGGCGATGGCAGGCGAGGGTGGTGAAGGGTTGACCCTGAGGGGGGGGGTCGTATCGAGGCCCTCTAGAAGGGAATCCAACTATGTATAGCATGTAAGGAGCGACGTGACAAGGCACTGAATCAATAAATAAACAATAAATAACAAAATTATGAGCCACTGATGGGCAGCTATTAGAGGAGGTTAAACTCGCGAGAAGAGTTCCAATGTGCTAACAGTTATCGGTATTTCTTTCTGCGCTGAAGCTCAGGAAAATAAGGACGGGCTCCAGAAACACATCTCCATGCAGATTATTCTCGTAATATTTAGTTGGGACCGATTCCAAAAATTTTAACGGGAGGGGGCGTAAAATTTTTGGAATCGGCAACATGAAGGTTTTACCGCTGGTTTGA